TGCACTTCTCATTCATCCCTGGTTAATTACGGTTAACTTTTTTTTTTTTTTAACCTCACCTGAGGATATTTTTCCATTTTTTGTACAGATAGAGTGGGAGAGAGAGAGAGAAACATCGACGTGAAGGGACACATCGAGTGGCTGCCACCCGCACGACCAGCCAGGGCTGGGGACAAACTGCAACCGAAGTACGTGCCCTTAGCGGGAACTGAACCCGGGTCTCTCCGGACCGCCGGCCGACGCTTTAACCGCTGAGCCAAACTGGCCAGGGCTACGGTTAACTCTTGATGCTTCTGTTTTAACCACAGTTGGGTAGGGGAGGTGCTAAGACACTGAGGGGGTACAAGGACCTGAGACAAGCCCAAGTGGAGGAAGGCCGCTGTGATTCCCCAGAGAACAACCAGACATCACTCAGCTCACTGGATTCCTCTCCTCTGGGACTGTCACTCCCATGGGGTAACTAGAGGGAGGTGTCACACTCCTGAGCCATGATCTTGGCAAACACTGAAAAGTCAGGATACTTGCCAACCCACCCAGAAAATTTTGCTGGACAAAACTTACCAGTGATTTTTTTCTTATTAATTCATTTATTTATATTTTAACTGATTTTCACAATGGATTGAGACAGCTTAGAATAAAAAAAAAGCATAATCAATAAAACAACCATTAATGATAATATCTCACATTTATTGAGTATAGACCACGTACTAGGTAAGAACTCCTCTAAGAAATTATAAGTAATACTGTTTTTAACCTTCAAACCAACCTTTTGAGATAGGTACTACTTTTATTGTCCACATTTTACAAATGGGAAAAACACACACACAGAAAAGCGAATACTTTTCTCCATGTTTGGCTACACAGCTAGTTAAGTGGTACAACCAGGCTTTAAATCCAACAATCTGATTCCACTGGAGATGTTCACCATCATGCTACAGTGTCTCCCCAAAACAAGTGTAAAAGAACCAGAGCTAAGTAAGAGCCCAGGATCACTTGGTAAAGTAGAATGTGATTATTTAACCACTATGCTGTATACCTGAAACTAATGTAAAATAACACTGAGTATAAATGGTAATAGAAAAATAAAATATTTTAAAGAAGACCCCAAGGGTATCGACAACCAAAGATACAAGCAAATAAAATAACTAAAACTGAAAATAAAATTCGATTTGAGCTTCTTAACAACCAATCCTTAAAACAAAAGGTAAAGAATTAACCAAGTGACCAACCACCCTGGTTAGCGTGGGACGAAGGGTCTCGCAGAACATGGGACTTTCAGGGCGAAAACTAGGACGGCTGGGCACTCTACTAAAAAGGTTTGATAACACTTTATAAGGCCTCGGATAATTAAAAACATACAAAATCATTATGGTGTTTTCAAACCTACATTGGCTCCTTTAACACCTCCTCCCACCATCATTAAATACTAAATAATTCTCTCAACAGTCTTCTTGGGAAAGATGAAAGGGTTGTAGAAATATGAAGCCCTGTTAATTGTTGGCTTTCAATCATCACATCTATTAGTGTGTTCAAGAGTCTGGGTAAGAGAGGCACACAAATTCTAGGTTAAATTCTGCCCTGCCAACTCCAGCTGTGTTTTAATTTTCTTTCCCAAGGTCACATAGGATTGCTTTCTTTAAAAAAAAAAAATTATCTTCCCTACGTCACCGGCAAAGATGTAGGCCAGCGTATGTAAGAAAGCTTGGCGGCAGCCTCATCAGAACACACAGGTAATAGCAAACCAAGGCCAAGCAGTAAACTTCTTCAAGCCGGCTGAACCACTCTGAAATTAGTGATGGGCTTCATGAGGATGGAGACCAGGTCTTATGTGTCTGCGTTCCTCACAGAGCAACACCCTGCAAATAAATATGGTCTTAGTTGCAATCCTCACCTTAGTATGTCAAAGCTAAAACATCCACAACTATCATTTGGTGCAAACGTTTACAGACGAGTGGAATGGGGCCTGAAGAAGGAAAAGTGAATTGCCCATGATGTGAGCACAGCCGAGTTGAGACTGACTTACATGGGAAGTGAGCTAGTCCTTATTCAAGGTGAGAAAAGCCCAACTAGGCTGTTAAGGGAAGAAGATTGTAACTCTAGTCCAGCTGATCTATCATGGGTCTTCATAGACCTCAGGTATAAGTGAAAAAGGAAAATAAATGTTTTAAGAATCCCATGCAAAATAAATGAGTAACTACTCAAGTGGAAAAGTTACTTTGCTCCTTCCGGGAGAGGAGCAAAGCTCTGCATGACATGTTGAATATTTCAGAAAAACTGAAGAAATTTTAGGCTAAATATTTTATGGAAAATTTCCAGCCAATTTAAGTTTCTATTTGGACTAGGGCAATCATTAAAAAAAGATAGATAGATAGATAGATAGATAGATAGATATACAGATTTATATTATATTATATTATATTATATCATATAGAAATAATATATATTATACATATATATATGAACAGAAATGTAACATTTGTGCACTTCACCAAGATACTTGGATGCTTAGTATGGACCAGTCACTATGCCAGGGCATCAAGCATGAAAACAAAGTAAAGGCAAGGAAAAGACAGGTCAATAGCTTGATGATACACATACACCTTCATTCAAACACTCATAATGTTAAAACAGCTCAGAAAAATTCCAATGAAAGTCTCTAAATCTCAAACATAATTTCTCGTGTCAATGCACAATCAAATCAGTGGATGGATCGATCCAATAAGTATATCTGAACACCTGTTACCTACTCAATCCCGGCCTTTAAGAAACTAATGAGGCAGTAGAGACAGAGAAAGAGAGAGAGAGAACAATAATAATGTAGGTGGTATGATTTGAAATACATGCCAAGTGACTAGGGGCATTGTGTATGGGGCCAGGGGAGGCACCGTCAATTTGGAGTGGGAGACACAGAAATGGTTTCACAGACACAAAGGAGCCTGAACTGGCTCTGAGGCATCTGATGAGCAGAGCATAAATGTGAGTGTCTCTGACCTGAGAAACAGTAAAAACAGCGGCATCAAGATGGAAAGGCTCAAGGTGTGCTCAGGTGACAGTGAGCCGACTTGTGTGGCTGGAGCAAGGCATTCAGGTAGGAAGACCTCTGTGGGTGATGATGTTAAAAAGGCAAGATGGTCCCAGACCATGGAAGAACCCTCCACTCTAAGGTAGGAAGGCAGTCTAGTTAAAGGGCTACACAGCTCTCTATGCTGCCATTGCAAACCCAATTTTTCAAGCTTTTTATTTAAAAAAAAAAAAGTTCCTTTGAATATTTCATGGCTAGATCTAAGCAGATCAGTTCTAAGGCTACATGATTTTTTAAAATACCTCAGTGCATTCAGAGTTCAGGAGTGGAATCTTATGGCTACGAACAAGTGAAAACTAAGCTGAGATTCCCTGTCAATCATTTCCCAAGAAATCTGGGGCAAAACATACTTTATTTTGCCTGAAAGGAAAACAGAATCCACAAAGTTCTTTACAATTCTTTAATACAAAACGTCACCCCACCAAAACAGAGCCAAAGGTATCCTAAGTTCTCTGGCACAAATTCTATCACATATTTGAAGAAAAAGGAATTACCAGAAGATGAAGAATAAAAGAAATATTTAAAATGAATACATATTGTTCAGTAAAACCTTTTTAACTAAGAAAAATCTTATTCACCTTAAAACTTTTCCTTAGAATCATGTTAGCAATCCTTCATCATCATAAACATATTCTGATTTAATGGTTTAAAGAAAACATAAAATTCTGAGAAACAGTTTATCACAAACCATTTGCAAAGATTTCTTTCTCTTTTTCTTTTTCTGAGTAATCCCGACACAGGTAATCGAGCGGCTCAACTGGATATACTTGCAAAGTAACATCCTACTTTTACACTAATACCCACCAGTCAACAGAAAGGTTTTTTTTTGTTTGGCTAGTGTTTCTAAATTAGAGGGTGTGTATATGTGTGCATGTGTGTGCGTGTGTATTGGGAGAGGGCAGTACTACTATTTTTTTTTTTTTAATGCCCAAATAAAACAATTACTTTAAAAAAAAAAAAAAAAGAGCTTGTGACTCGGACATGCCCTGGTTCAATTTTGCCACAAATGGCAAAAACAGTCAACAGAGCCCTAACCCTCCTTTCTCTCTTGACTATACAATAGTTTTCAAAGAGGTTTAGTCCTACTATGAAAGACTCATGTTAGATCCTGGAAGGGTCTCTTAGAGAATGAGCACCAGGCCTTGAATAAACAAGGGTGATGGTGACCTTCTGCCCCATCTGCTGAAAGCCCAGCACATCCTGCAGCCAAGAAACAGAAAAGAGCTGGTGAGCATCCAGGTGCTGCCAAGTCCTTGCCTCCTGATTTCTCCCACACTTTGTTACTGCAACAGTTTACACTGCACGTGATTTAAATAGTATTCGGGAGTGAGAGAAAAGTACGAGTCCTGGAACCAAGGGCCCCACGGTCCCTTAGTCCTTTGTTCCCTGTATTGTTTGAGTTGTGCTCATGAAGCACACGTTCCACTAGCAACAGGCAAGACAGCAGATTCAGCAGAGGCTGAACAATCAGGCCCCGATTAGGCTTATTTCCTAGCTGAATATAAAGGAGGTGCTGAGGTGAGGCGGAAAAACGAGAAATTTTCAAGAAATATTTCCTCCTGGAGACAAACAATGCAATGTAAAGCAAATTGAGCTAGGGGTCAGGAGACTCTGCCCAAATACACTGTGTGACATTAGGCAAATAGCTTAACCACTCTGTTGTCATCCAGAAAGTGTGGGCCACCTGCTACCACCCATGAGAGGCTCTGAAAATCAAACGGTGGTTGAAAGTGCTCTGAAAGTTTGAAGTGTTCCACAGAAGTAGGGTATTCCTCCAAGCTGTATTTGGAACCAACGATATGCATCTGTTTGGCGAATCATATGCCTTTTATTCTCCCTGGCACACGTCATTAGCGATTTTCTTATTTCATGTCTATTCTCGATTGCTAGTGTTTTAAAGTTCATGAGTGATACTTACATATGTACATGTGGCGGCTGGAATCTGCTCTGGTTGATGTTGTAGTGCGTGAATGCCTGGGTGGGGTTAGAGCTGTATTCATCCACCGTTATGGTAACTTTGCCTTGAGAAGGAATCCCATGTGCCATCCTTCCTCTCTATAGGCATGAGCAACTCACAACTTTCCGGAGCAAAGGATGGAAGCAGGCATGGTGCGTTTCAGCCAACCTCTGAACCCAAGGATCTGCTCATCAATACTGCTGAGTGTTTCTGGAAAAAAAGAAAGTATAAAATGAGAACAAAGAAAAAGAGGGCGTTCTAAGAGATGTCAAATGTGACACCTGGACATGAAGTTGGTTCAGGAACAAAAATCTCAATGTGTTGCTGCCTTCTGGATACAGCCTTTCCCAACTCTCTACCTTGTAAGCACTTCAGAGTGGACATTACGCTCCACATGACACCGCTGGCTGCTAGCAAATCATTTCACTGGCATTCAAACTAAGATTTCCTCTTTAATTATAATTATGGCACTTAACATGAATTACAGAAGGGCCATATCCACAGTTGCCATGGCGTCTAACTATAAATGGTTTGTGCTCGAAGTGGGAGACTCTTCCAAACCTTCCCTGCTAATTGAAGTATTTGGTCTGTACAAAGTTGGTGTCATATAATAATCTGAAATCTCAATGCTTAACACAGCCATAAAATGCAACGACAAATGTTAAGTTTTAAATGCTGTGCTCAAAACAATACCTGTATGTACGTGTACTACACACCTCATATATGCACATGCAATATATAATTTTTTCTTTCACAAGCAGCTCCTGAAATACATAGGAACTCAATTCCTAGTATACACATGCGTTCCACTCCGGCAAAGAACTTCAGGGTAAGGCAAATTCTTCATGCTAAATTTAATATAATTTCTCTAAACACTGCCGTTACTTGAGGGAAAAGCAAACACATCCAGGCCTGGATCACACTTTGGATGCATTCATTACCGCCCCTCTTCCAGCCGGGAGGGAGCAGTAAAGGAGGGGGGCCATTACATCCACCGCCTGCCTCATTCTCGCTTGTTGCCGCATAAATCTCAGTAGCTGGTTTCATACTTGTTTGTTTGTTTTTTTCTTTCTAAGTTTCCACTAGTTCTGAATCTTCCTTTAAATGTCAATATATGATTTGCTGCACTGGGTTCAGAAATGAGGGTGTTTACTTTTATAGCAGGTGTGCAAAGACTGAGGAAAGCACATCCCCGCATGGAGGCTGTTACAACTGATCAGTGCAGGAAAGAAGCGGCAGCAGCGGCACAGTCCTCAGGTAACCCTGGGGTAACCCACGCTCTTACTTCAGAGTGCTCCGCATCAGAATGCGTTTGCTGTGTGCACCATTAAGCTCCAGAGTCTTAGCTGCTATCTCAGATAAAAATATGTAGAATAATAAGATTAGATTTAAATTTGGCATGAAACACCTTAAATATCAAGCAAAAGGCAGATGGCCTGCTATAGGCCATTTATTTTATTATTTTACAACCCGGGGCTTGTGTAGTCCTCCATATGCTAGCTGGGCTAAGAAATTCCACAGCGTTCTCCTCAAATCGCTGCCCTGTTCCTCTGAGCAAAGCGAGCTAAACAACACCCACCTTGCCTGTGTTCCTAAGGTACAAAGGCACTGCCAAGAGATGAATCCCTGGTGTGCTGGCATTTTAAATAGTGTCTCTTTGGGTTCACTTTCTTCTTCCTGACTTCATGGGAGGTATGAGTCCTTTAAGTACCAGTTGATAGACAACCAGGCCAGCAGGATTAACAAAATTAAAATCTCTCCCTGCTCCTCTGATGTAAGATATCTATAAGAACTGCTTACAAATCATAATGTAGCAGTTTTCATACCAAGTTTGCAGCTGTTTCCTTAATTTCCCCCCACAATTATATTTTACTGTTATTTTGCATAACAGTAAAACACAACACCTGCTTCAAATTGCAGCCCTGTTCTAAGTACTGTAATTCTCGTTTGAGACACAAAGTACCGAGACACTACTGAAGCGCAAAAGTGCATAATTGTGCCATGCTGAAAAGTAAATACAAATGAAAACATCTTCCTGTTATAGAAATGACTGTCATTAGAAAGAATGTTAGCCATCAAAGCACAGAGGAAAAAAACACACACATTTTCAGACTGCGAGAACTTAAAGTGTCTGCACAAATTAGAGCGTGATGTAAAAATTACATGGCAATTCTTATGTTCCTGCCATCAATGTCTATTGTGTGAAATACAGAACATTAAGAAGCGAAGGAAACAAAATTCATGTCTAGACCATTGTGACCTCTCAGTAATAATCTCTGCACCAGGTGCCAGAAACAGTTTAAATGTTTCGGGAGCAACCTCACTAATTAAGCGGACTAGAAATAAAATACACATACCCATTATGTAAATATCTATGCAACGACTTATAAAAGTTAGCATTAGACCCTACCATTGGAAGCCTAGAAGAGACGGAACTTAGAAGGTGATCAATTCACACTCCTAAATGGTCCACTCTACCCTAAAGTCAACCTAGGATTGCCTTTTCTATCAAGTGAACATCTGTGCCTCTTTGCACCTTTGCCCCAGCAAGACAAATAGAACATCTTTTCATCAGCAAGCACAGGCCCCTATAACTCTGAAAGGCTAAATGGGTGCCTGGCACCTCATCTGAATTCATCGTAACCATGTTCTCTTTCAAATGTTTTATCAAAACAGTGCACCTGCAGTGTCTATCTTCTTTAATCTGGAGTCCTTTGAAGAAAATGTCAGACTGAGGAGACAGCTTCAAAACTTTCACAGGAACCTTTACAGACAAGTCAATAAAAGGCTTATTTTTTGAAATGCTATGTTTACCCCCACTCACATCACAAAATGAACATATCCTAAGACTATTAAACACCAACACATGGGAAAGACTTGGGGAGGGGGGGTAAACCTTCAGAGACAGGACAATGGTCTTCCCCCTCTACCCGAGAAATCGGGGAAAAACTCAGAACAAGACAGAATGATACACTACCTAGAATTATCAAGAAGCTACATCACCTTGCTTCACTATTTAGATAGTCACACCTTCCAAATGATCAGATTTTGGGGCATCTCATTCTCATCACACTTACATTACTTTTTACAAATAATATTTAAAGAGACCAGTATTCTTTTTAAATTTTTTCATTTTATACTTCAACACATCTGCTCCACAAAACAAAGGAACCCACTACTAAATACCAGGAATCCTAAAGAAAAATAAAAAAGGGACTGATAATCACCAGTCACACTGGTTTTAGTTTGATTTTCTCTTAAAAAAAAAAAATCATGTGAGCACATTTTGCATTTCCTAGACAGCAGTCATTTCGCCAGTCCCTGAAGCTGTGCAACTTGAAATGTCGTGGGTATTTTGTTTTGTTTTTCCCCCAGGAATTTAGTTGGAAAACATCTTAAAGTCTGCTGGCAATGAAAGGATTAAACGCTGAGGAATTAAATAACTGTCTCCACCTCCTAGACACCAGAAGTCCATTTACCAAAAGTTTCAAAGCAACAACTCATGACCTCTCTCCCGGAGCACCGCACGACATAGCCTATGAGAAGGGAGCCCGTGATTTCGTAGTTTTAAAAAAGGATGCTCATTTTATTCACTTGCCCTACGAAGATCGCCCGACCGCCTGGCCAGACTTTGGAACTCGCCCGCTCCAACTCCGCCAAATTTCTCTCTCCTCCCTCCGCTGCACAGTTGGAGCGATCGCTCAGCTCCCGCCTTTGCTCTTTAATGCCCACCTCCAGTTACTCATCCCTGTATCCCAACGCGACGTTCACAAGCCTTCCCCGGGGCCACTCCACCAGGGTTTAGGGAGGGATGCACGAAGCTCCACGTGCCTCTGTCCACAGAGCGCCCTCCCCTCCGCGGCACTTACACCTGAACTTGTCTCCAGCACTGCGGACACCCGGCTGGCACATTCTTTCGGAGAGGAAGGGCAGGACTTTCCTTCCGCGCCTCTGGCTACGCGTAGTCTATATATGGTGGGGCGGGGGGCGCGGAATTCGCTACTTTGGATTGGTGTGTTTGTTTTAAATCGGGGGGTGCGGGGGCTTCACCAACTACACCTACACACACACACACACACGCACACGCACACACAGGCTCGCCCTGCCCTCGGCTCCCGGCCGCTTCGTCCGGGCTGCAGCTCCCCCTTCCTTCCTGGAGCACCAGCTCGCCTTACTCGCTCAGTCCCCGGTTGCCACCGCCGTCGCCTCTGCTGCCGCCGCCGCCGCTGGCACTGCTGGCGCTCGCGGCCCCGGGCTCCGCTGAGCGCCTTTCTTTCTCTCCCTCTCCCCCAGCCCCAGATTGATTGATGACCACTGGCGGCCAATGGCTCTGACACCGCGCCATCCTCGCACAGGCATCAGAGCCCCACGCCCCCGACGTCAGTCTCCCCGGCGCGTTGGCATCCCGAACCCTCAGCGCGGAGCCCGCGCCCGGAGCCGCGGCCGTCGCCTCCCAGCTCTCCGCCCCGGGGCTGCCGGGCTGCTTGCCTGAGCCACGGGGAAAGGAAGGGGGAAGCCTGCGAGCGTTGGAAGGGGGTGTGGAGGCCAGGAACCCACACACACCCTCATTAGAAATCTTGTCTTTCACTTAAAGTTTTGTGGGGGGGTGTCCATCCTGACCAGTTTGTGTTTGTTTGTAGCATCTCAAGTCAATTACATGTTTTCATGACCTGAATTTGCACTTAATGTGGGGTGTGTTGGGGGGAGGAAAACACGCTATAAATCCACCCCGTGGGGCATCCTTAATTTCGTTTCTTGCTGGTGGATTCTAACCACCTCCCCAATCTCCAGTGAAATGCCCCCTTCACCTCCTAGGCCGCAAAACCCCGAATTCAAAGGCTTTACCAAGATAACCCTGTTCCATGTAAATAGCCAAGAAACTCCTGCTCTCTCTAGAAGAAATCGGGCGGCAACGGTTACTTTTCCTCGCCGCTCGTCCTCAGCCGCCCAGCCCGAGTCACCGACTCCCTCCACAGGCTGCGATCGTGAAGACCCGAGGCGGCAGGGGAGAGCGAGCGAGGTCGGGGCGCCGGGACAGGGCGAGAGAAAGCCCCGCGCGCGAGCGGCGAGCGCGGGCGACCCCGGGGGCGGCGGCGGACCGCAGCCCGAGCACAAAGCTGCGCGGCGCCTTCCCTGCCACCGCACCTCGCTCCGGCGGCCGCGGACGCCCGGGGCTCCGGCCAACACAATGCACCCGGGCCTAGGCCGGGGCGGCTCGAACACACAACCCCAGGACTTTCTAGTAAACAGCTCGCGATGCCCTCATCCCCACCCCCATCCCCGCAGTCCGGCTTCTGCCTCTGTCCCTCACCGACACCCTCTTCTTCCCTCCTGAGAAATCCAGGCGGAGGAGGGGGCGGGGACTTGGGGACCCCGAGAGGTCGGGGCCGAGGACTGGGGGGAGGGGAGAAGAGCAGAGGGGCAAGATGGGGAGTGGGAGAGAGACAGCTCCTAAAAGAGAATTCGCTCTCGTTTGGAGGTTGAAAATAAGCCCTCCTCGGGTTCCGAATTGCCCGGGAAGCGCCCGCTCATGCGAATGTCAGGGACACCCGGGCAGCGGCGGTGCTCAGCCTCCGAGCCCCCCGCACGCGCCTCTGACAAGGCACCTCTCACCCGGGCTCCGCTTTGTGTGTGCATTTTTTTCCCTTCCTCTCGCGCTCGGCACCCGGCGCCCGGCTGCCTCCTCCCCCTCCCCCGCCCTCCGCCTCCCTTCCCGGGGCGGATTACCTTTCCCGGGCTGCGCTCCGAGTCCGGGGGATGCCTTCAGCGCCCGGCCAGCAGGCGATCCATCGCAGAGCGGCCGGAGCCGGCGGGAGGCGCGCGGGGGGCGCGGGCGGGCCAGAACCTTCGACCTCCGAGGTCCCGCCGAGGGCTGGAGACGGGGGTCGGGGGGCGCGGCGCGAGAGGGGGCGGGGGGAGAAAGGACGAGAGCAGCCTCGATCTGGGGAGAGAGCGAGCGAGGGGGCGAGGAGAGAGAGCGAGGGCGCGGCGAGCCGGAGGGAGCGGTGCAGTGACAGGGACTGCCACTGGGGTCAAAGGAGCACAGCTCCAGGAAGCAGGGCGGCCGAGGCGCCGCTCCGTGCGCGCTCCCCGGCGGGACCCCGCGCCCCCGCGCGCCCCTCCTTCAGCCCCGGCTCACTCGAACCCCCGCCGGCGCTCCGGGGCCCCGGGGTTGCAGGAGGAGGAGGAGGAGGAGGAGGGAACTGAGGGCGAGGCCGGCAGCCTGCTGGTGCTCCCGGGTCAAGCAGGCGGCAGGAAGCTGAGCTGCAAGTTCATCATCATGAGTGTGATCAGCGTAAAAATGATAGGGGATCGGGGAGGGGGTGCGGAACCCCAGGACAAATACAGGGAGTTTTCCCTCCAAATGGGCGCCTTTTGCAAAGGGAACACCCAGGCCTCCCACCCACCGACCTGCCAGGCGCTGTCTGGAGTCCTGGCACGGCTACAGGGCGCAGAGCTTGGCGCTGGGGCAAGGCGAGAGGCTCGGGCACTGCGAGCAGACCAAAGAAAGCGACCTGGGTCCCCTCCCATCTATCTGCTGAGCTTAGGGCTTTCCTGGGGGAGAACTACGCTCTTTTTTTTCAAGCCTCCCAACTCGCCAAATACACACACATATACGCACACACCCCTTTCTGCAATGCTGTTCCTGAGAAAGAAAAGGCCAACCCAGCTGATATTTTTTTCCCACCTCCATGAATTAAGGCGGGTTCAGGAGAGGGAGTTGAGGAAAGGCAGCCTCAAGTTGTTTTCATTTTTGTCTTTGGGGTACATTTCCCCCCAAAGATAAGCCCCTTAAAAACGTTTTAAAAATCAAAGTTCATCCCCTTTTCTCTGCTACTTTGGATAATTGGGGGGTGGGGGGGTTAAGAATTGTATGCAAACAACATAAGGAAAGGGAACGCCACCGAAATGCCAGAAGACAGGAGACAAGGAAGAGAAGGTTTTGGAAAACTTGGTTGGCAAGGCTGTCTGTGAAAGATGAGGTGGCCCTGTGATGTTATGCCACTGTCAGAGCTCAAGGATTTGGACGGCAACCAGATCTAATTCCTTTCCAGGAGTCAGACTCAAAGATCTAGCCATTCTCCAAAGGGAAATCCAATGGGTGTGTGTGTGAGAGAGAGAAGTGTGCTAAGTATACTATGTGACAACTGACTAGACATCCTGGCTGAAATTATATCCTCTAAAAATAAAAAGGAGCCATTTCAACCTGGTCTGTGGCCTCTGTGCTGAGACTAATTGGTTTCCAGGGTCTGGTGAGAAAGGGAGAGAGGCTGGTAGGAGCCCCTATAAAAAAAGATCAAACGGAATTCACTTGAAAATATTTCCCTTTTACAATAGGCTTTCCTGGCACTTGAATTTTAAGTAACCTATCTCTTATGCCTGGGCTGGAATGAAAGGGGAAATGGTCTTGCTAATGTATTTATTTTGTTGTACAGTATGCCCAGAGTGTAGGTGCCTGTCAAATGTGCTGGGATCAAGGGACAGTGACTATCCTTGCCCAGCACAAATCACAGCAAGAAGCACTGATGTTAAAGAATGCCAAAGATGGGAGGGGGGGGGGTCCTTTTTATTTTGTTTTTATTTTCCAGCTCAGCAGCAAACACTGACTAGAATCATGTTTTTGAGGAAATGCTTAGTTTTGTTTCCCTTATTCCGTGAGTTAGCAGTATACTCCCCTTATCCAAATGTTTTGAATTTTTAGACTGATTTGGGATGATTTAATCAGTCAAAGAAAAAATAAAAATTAGCGCCAGCCAAACCAAATAACTTGTGTGGTTTTCTAACTTTTTTTTCCTTTTAGAAAACGGATAGTCAATCAAAAAAGCCAAAATAGTACATGATTCTAAATCTAGGTGCACAGATAAGAAATAATAATGCCTTTGCCTTTGGTGGCACATTTTACAAGACATTTAATGCTATAAAAAATCAAGTGAGTGATCCTTTACAAAGTTGATGAAAATTTGTGTACCATTTTGTTGACTGGGGGAAATTTGAAGCAAAAAAAAGCTTAAAATTGTAACTTGCGCTATAGGAAGAAGTCAGCCTCTACTAGGTCTCTGCTGATCAATTATCCACTGTAAGAGGTAGTGACCACGCTATATTAGAGTCCTGAAATTTTATTTCCATTAAGCTAGCAAAAGAAAGAAGCTGGAGAAATGTAAGTGAATTTAAATAATAAATCAGGAACAAACGGAATTCACTTTTCAAATAATTCTCATCGCATAGATTTGAACATACTGCATTTTGTTAAATCATATTCTCGACCAATATAACTACCTACACTAAAAGCTTGTTTTAAAGTGATTGGATGTGAACCATGTCTGCCCCTGACATCAGCTTTGAAATATCGATATATCGAGCCTCATTATACCAAATTTTAAATGCTAAAGGCTGGCATTTTTTTTTTTTTTTAAGATAAGTGAGACTATAAGCTCCATTTTTTGGTTATTGTTAGTAAATTTAATTTTTATTGTTTACAATGGAAAAGAGAGGAAGGATAAAAATCAAATGCCAAGTTTATGATGGCCTCTATGCAAATACTACAATTTTTTTTTATTTAATGGAATGTAAATCTGGACCCTTTCTCCAGTGATTTCATCGAAGGAACTGGCGAATATGCTTCCTGATAGCCTGCTGCAATATCTTTTAAAATATCTTTTCAGAATGTATTTCAGGAAGAAAATGAGAGAGAGGAACGTGGGAGAACTTTAGGGGGAAGCTTGCAAAGTGAAAGCTGCTTCCCTTGAAAGCTCAGAACTTAATTTGGAGTTGGTTTTCATTCTCCCTCTAACAGGTTTTTCAGTGATTCAGGGATACTTGTGTACAACTTAAAACTTGGTTCAGTAGTGTGGTTCTTCATTTAAAAACTTTGTTGAAACTATTGCCTTTTCATTGAGTAATTTCATTGAAATTGTATGCACTGATCTAATTCTAGGGACAAACAGTAACTATTTTGCCTTTTTTCTTTAAATTTTCTGCATTTTTATTGTTTTCAAGCAAAGGCTAAGATATATATTATGAAAAAGCAGAGCCTGTTAATAGAACTATTATTATGATGCAATTAGAAACTAATTTGAGCCAACAAATACCTTTACCTTATTCTAAATGTCTACAGTTTTTACATTTTTTATTTGTTGCAAATGTTTTTATTGCAACCCCCTCATATTTAAGAACTATATCCTACATTCCTTTGTGTTCTTCATGCTTATGTACAATGAAAGTAGTAGAAATTTGGACAAATTTGTGAAACAGTTGTCTGGGTCAGAAAATAAGAGAGTGAGAGAATGCATGAGTGAATGAAACAACAGCACAGTGAAGAAAAATCCATACCAGATAGGCAGGAATGGAAATGATGTCATGCGACCAGTTGGAGGATAAGAGCTAAGGACTTTCCATGGAGTTCAAATAGCACATTTAAAGGAATTTGCTAATATATTTAGAGATACAAACTAATATATAAGACTATTTCAGAAGTTGATTTTCTCATTGAGAAACTGAAGATTGTTATGTAGCCCGTCCATTCAAAGGCAGTCTTTTTATTTAATCCTCACCCCAAGGATATGTGTTTTTTTATTGATTTTTAGAGAGAGAGGAAGGGAGAAAGAGAAAGAAACATTGATGTGAGAGAGAAACATCGGTTGGTTGCGTTTTATAAGTGCCACAACCAGAGTTGAACCTGCAACCTAGGTATGTGCCCTGACCAGGAATCAAAGCCACAACCTTTGGGTGTATGGGACAACACGCCAACCAAATAAGCCACCAAGCCAGGGCAAAGGCAACCCTCTTGTTAAATACAGTAGGATGCAAAAAAAAAAAAAAAAAAAAATTCTGAGTAGAATGTAAATTTTAAATTTTACAGGAAAAATGTAGCAAGATGTTGTTTCAAAAGAAACTTAGGTGATTAATCTGATTTTTTGATCCATCCTTTTTTGAGGTCCTCAACATAAACATGTAACTGTTTCTTGTCCTTTGCATTTAAAATTTCCTGTTGGTTAACGAATAATGCTTCTGCCTAAGGCAGTTTCAGGAAGCACTAGAAATGATGAAATTTCATTTCATAAAATAAATTATATGGGCACTACCTTAGAAAGACTAAATTTGGCCCAGCTTTGCCAGCAGCTTAAATAATAAACATGGAGGGTCTGAAAATCAGAAAATTTTACGAAACACTCAATAATTCTTACCATCCTTACTAACCAATATCTAGTAAGTATTGCCAAATCAGGCAAGTATTATTTAAGTAACAATAATTTTAATAATTAAAAAAATCTGAACAAGGTGCTAAGCATGTGGTAGTGTGTTTTTCATCCTAAGAAGAGTGTGTTCATTGAAGTAAAAGACAAAGTAATCTCTTTTGAAGGATGGGCAGTGTGGAAAACCCATAATCACCTGATTAAAGAAAATATATGTGGGAGTTTTCAAGTTTAATAATTCAATTTGACAAGATATATCAATATTTTGAGTAAGCAATATATAATATAATTTTTCTTGTCAGCAAAAATAAATAAATGAATGAATACATTAAAAAAAAAAACAACTCAGTTTGAGACACCAGTAAAATCTAAAACCCATTTCTCTCTGTAGTATTACTATAATGATTCCGCTATTCAACAGCTATTTTTTAAGCTCTGCTCTGTGCCAGGCAAAGTATTTAAATCATGCTGATGGTGTGATGATGTACCAAGCTGAGTTTTCGCTCGCATTATGAAGTTTGTAATCTCATGAGCCTGGGAGACTGACTTTCAGTAATCACACAAATAAATAAAAAGTATATGCATGAAAAGGAGAGGCAGCTGGTGCAAATAAAAATTCCACGCACGTTTGGGAGACCTTTTCTCCTCTGAGGTTGAGTGAAGACTTCCCTGATGGGGAAAGGAATACAAGGGTGTCATAGGGAAAAGGAAGAGTGTGCTGGGTGCTGAGCGAGGAATTGCTCGGTCATGTGAAGAGGTCTAGATCTGTATCTGTAGTCAGAGGCCAGAACTGAAGGGCCAAGTCAGAGAGCTTGAAGG